TAGATAATGAAGTAGCGTTGCACACACTTTTGTTACACAGTATTAGCTCCCGCATTGTTCTGGAATGTGTCAATGCCCTGTTCAGATGGGAAAAAAATCATTCCTGGTCACAGTAACATGACTGGCAATAAAGTGCCAAGATGTTGGCCAGACAGGACTCAAATAGTAAACTCATGGAGCCTAAACCACAATATTATAAAAAAAAAGATCCATTGGTAATCGGATTAAAGAAAGATCACTGGAAGAATGGTCAGTTGGACATAACAACAAACCAGGTTTCTCATAGAGGTCCTATGGGTTGAAGTAAATCGGAAAATTAGTTTGCACATCAGAAGCAGCCTTAGGATTGTCAAAAAAACTTCTAATGGATCGTGGATATCTAAACAAGCACTCCAGCAGAATATGTCTGAGTGCTATACAAGTTATGCTGATATGAAGACAAAGATTCCATGCATATATCCCCTGTCACTGTAATTGCTTATTTGTAAAGACTCAGGTACCTGTGGGAAACATTTCTGACATCTTTAGACATTAGAGAGATTGCAGCAGAGCTAGTGCTTGCCTTCGCAGAATTCCTTGATGATATTGAAATCGATAATGTCCCTGTACCAAGTTTTATTTAGATCTAATTAGCTATATCGAATTTATTTAAAAAATGTATTTTAGCAGTGCGCCTTTGTCACCATGGATGTAATGTATTGTATATCTCTTAGTTCTGTTATGCACCATGTTTTAGGAACACCTTGTATAGTAGGATATCTCCAATCACAATAATGTCAGTATTTAAGGATAAAGGAAGTGATAAAGTTCAGTTATCACTTGATACTTTAAATAAGTAATGTAAGTAATATCGGTAGTTTTAACAATATCTAAGTACCACTTGTAACCATATCATGTAATTATCAACTAAAACAAATGTCATGTATTGTATGTATGTTTATAGTTTCATAAATATTAAAAGTTAATACTGAACATGATATACAGAGTGATCACTTTAAGAACACAGTTCCAATATTTCACGACCAAAAATAAAGAAACGGACATGTAAAATTAGATAGATTATTATAAATAAATATGTAAATATTGTGGAAATGAAAATATTGAAGAGGAGAAACTAACATTGTACAATAGCTATACAAACCAAAGCAATGTCAATCATGACTAAATTCCTCAATTAGTTATCTATAAGGATTATTTTACACAATGCATTTATTACTGATAAATATATTTATATCTTTATTTTTGTCGATATTTTTAATTGAATTGTTATTTTATGATATAAAAATCAACAATTCAATAAAATGTGCAACACTTTATTTAAACATAATTATTTAAACATGTATTTAGTTATAATTTTAAATTACTAAAAAAAAATAAAAAAAGTATTCCAAGAACAAAATACAATAATTAAATTACATTCTATTAATAAAATATTTATAAATTAGTTGTATAATACCAACCAGCAAGAAAATATTCTTCAGAACATATCATTTTATTGGGAGTTCTTACTTCACATAATAATATATTCTTTTTTAATCTTCTTCATTTTTTCCCACTCAAGCTTTTAGTTTTAGATATTATTAAAAAATGACCTCACTATATTATTTAGTTGTTATACTATTAATACCTTTTTTACAATATGGAAAAATTAGCCTATCGTCGTTGCGTTTTCAAAATCCGATGTGCATATTTTCAGTAAAATACGTTATGTGCAGGATTATTCGATAAACGACTCAAATACAGTGTACAGTGTAATAATACAGTGTAGTTGAGTGGATAAATATTGTTATTCAATTATTTTGGTCTTCCAGAGTTATAAGTCACCATATACATTTTACATAGGAAACAAAAGATAGTAGTACTTTGTTCCAAAATCAGAAATCAAAGCACAAGATACTGCACTGCAATAGGTATGACATACGAGTATCAAAAAATTTGTATGTATTACCAGAATATAGAACATAAAAAGTGGGCAATAGAAAATATTATAAATCAAATTACACAGGTTTTTTTTAATGATCCAGTTATATAGATTCTCTCAAATGTATGTTGTGTAATAACAAATAAATTTACTGCAAATGCCACAGAAAATATATTAAGTTACCAAACCATCTCGTTTATTTTACATACAATAGTAAATACACTTTTAATGAGGAAGGACCTAACATTTTTGTGTTAAGGACATTCATTCCTTTTTATTCATACTATTCAGTCACAATGGACAATATTTTTCACATATATCAGAATATAACATCTCTATGCAGATGATGCTAAAATATATTCCAGAATAAATAACATTGATGATTGCATCTTACTTCAGGATAGTTTGAATTTGCTGAATGTGTGGTGTCAGGAAAATAAACTTCCGTTAAACATAAGTAAATGTACAGTTATGTCTTACTGTCGTAAAAAAGAAATTCTGAAATTTCCCTATAGCATTTCTAACACGGTATTGACAAGACCTGAATATGTAAGACCTAGGTGTAGTTTTTGATTGTAAATTAAGTTTTGACTATCACACAGATAAAATAATTTCTGATGCTACTAGAAATTTAGGGTTTGTTATACGAAATTTGCGTGACTTTCATGATAATCATACAGTAATGTTGCTTTACAATTCATTTGATAGGTCCAAGTTAGAATATTGTTCGGTGATATGGTCACCAGTATATACTAAATATATCGAAGCGCTTGAAAGAGTGTAACGTAGGCTGTTTAAATTCTCAGCATTTAAAGAGGACAATGCCTATCCTCCAAATGGATATTCTCAAGAATTGCTTCTTCGAAGATTTGAAGGTAATTCTCTACTTGTTCGTCGTATATGCATTCCATAATATTTTTATTTAAAATAATTCATCATATCCTTGATATACCCGATTTATTACATAGAATAAATTTTGTCAAACTTAAAACCTTCAGAAATCAAAATAAAGAGTTTCAAACGTTCTACTTAAAAACAGCCAACAGTAATATATTACATTATTCCCCTTTCTACAAGATGTGTAGAAGTTATGATCTACTGTACACTTTTATAGATATATTTAATTCTAATGTTAAACATATCAAAAAAATTTGTTTGTCCTTATCTCCCCAGTACTTAGTTCGTATTTTTTGTATTGTAACATGTATGTATGTGTGTACAAATTGTATTGTTATTCAAAAATGTGTTATTGATTTGTATATGTCATTGTTGTGACATTTTTTTTTGTTTTAATTAATTTTATTTTCTGATATAACTCTTTTATATGCATTTTTACTGTTTTATCTATATACTCTATATTTTTGTTGTATTACTTGTTTATATTTATATATATTTTTTCTTCTTCTCACTATCCTGTAATGAGGACTTGTTCCTGTTGGATAGTATAGTCTAAATAAATAAATAAATAAATAAGAATTTTAATTAAATACCAGTTAATATATTTAAGGAAACAGAATTTAATAACTACAATCGACGAATCTGTGGTAGCAGGTTTTTACCAAAACTATCTATAGCATATTATTATGTACTTATACTAACTAGTTATTTAAATGTATTACTAGATAAATATGTTCTCAAGTATATTCTTTCTAATTTGTTTGTTAAAAATAAAAAATATAATATTCAGAGAAAACATTCCATTTGTAAATCACATCATCGATATGTAAATCAATCCATAAGGTCTAGGGATAGTAAGTATTGTATAGCATTTAGTTATTTGATCAAAAGATGATACCTATAAGTCATGCACACCAAACGGCACTAACTTATATTCAGTGCTGTTAACGGATCAATCCGTTGACAATAGTTTTGGTGTACGCAGGAGTGTTCTATGTACAATAATTGTTAGGAGAAAAAATTTTATTAAGCAAAAACCAAAATAAACTATTTAGAAGACAATATCTAAAAAGTTACCTATAAACAATAGAAACTATAAACGTAATGTAAGAAAAACTAGCAACTATTTCTTATGATCTTCATAAAAACATAATAACACATAAAGGTAGTTTCTCTGGGTACGCGCTGCAAAAGTATGTGGTATCTTTTTGCTTTTTATTATTGTAACATAATCTACATCTTCTTTGACTAACTTTTCCAGTAGGAGTACAAGGTAATTTTTGTGTGGGATCTTTGGAGAGGCTTACGGTAGTTGCCAAAGGATTTTCTTTTATTTTTAAAAAATACAAATATCTAATAATATGTAATCTATAATCATAAAAAGACAAACAAGGATCAAACCCATACTGCTTGAAATAAAAGTAGCATATAATGCGTTTTTTCACCTAATGAACTTTTTACGTAAATAATATATTCCAAGTAAAAAATGAGTGACTAAGAACGAACAACAAACTTTTTCATTATATGCAGACCTCGTAAACTATGCTCATATGCAAGGAAAACATCGTACATAGGCCATGCGAATGTAAATAATTTTGTAAAGCATAAAAAAATGAACAAATTGTCAGTCGAGCAGCCTGGATACGAGTCCAGCTTGACGGAAATTTCTGTCAGTGAGTAGTAAACATGTAAATGCTCTAATTATAAAGACAAGTTTTAGAATCAGTTGAAACATATAGGTTGTTCATATTTATATTTTTAAAAAAAGGGGAATCGTTGGTCAAAATCTGTACATTAAAACACTCAAAGTTAAGGCTTAACAGATGACACATGCGTATATCGTACATGTAACTTAACTAATTGTTTTAATACACAAATATTACTGAAGTACTAAAATATTACACAAGCTTGTATACTAATTACCCTTATTTTTTTTATCATTTTTGGATTTCTTGCTGCCACTACGGCAAATTTGCTTGCCTCAAATGTATGAAACTAAATTTTAAAAATTAAAAGAATTTATTAAAAAAATGGTACAATATGTAGGTTAACGCTATTGCCCAAATATAATTTGTTTTTAAATCTTTGTTGTTAAAATAATTATTCTAAGTACATAAAAATTATTTTAAGAATCATCATTATAAACTCATTAGAATATACCATTAGGATGCAGTAAACATACCGTACATTCCGTCCAATAGATGTGAAACAGAGGCTGCCGTATTAAATCCCATTGATTTACTTTCGGTAGGGCTGCTGGACTGAATGGGATAAAATTTGCTCCAATATGGACTGGTCTGATAGGGCGACCGAGGGATCTTCTCCAATCACAATAATCCTGAGGTAAGGCCTGTACCAAACTGTCCTCAAATGAAGAAAAAACTTCCAGTTCCCCAGCACCTTGAAAAGTTAATTGATATATCCATGACAAATTATTAAACAACCTATGACCTACATGTTATTATAGGCCTTCGATCAACTACCGACCCATCCTCAATTAAAGTAGTTCCATTCATGATTAGAATTTTTAATTTTTAACCAGGGGACATGAAAAATATCATTATTCCACAATTTACCACAAACAGCACTCACGAAATCGACTTTTCCGTTTAGTCCAGAGTGAGGACATTACTAATTTTTAAATTGGACTTAATTACAGTCTGATTTTGTTTCCACTATAAAACTCGAATCTCGAATTGTGATGTGACATTTACTTTGTCATTTGTCAATATTTAGCAGCTGTCACTATTCACAGTTTGTTGTCATTTGTCTCGGTATCGTTTCGTTTGTCCCATCGTCTTCCATTGTACAATGCGCAAACGCAACGTTCTTTGACTTTGAATTTTTGCGTGACATTTGTTGAAATAATTAAGGTCACCGTCAAATAAAAAGCTGCTTACGACTATTTGAACCTTTAATTTTAATAAACTTGTACAATGGATATTACTTAGAATTTTTCATGTGCTACGTACAATCTTTCTTACTAGTAACTGTTTTAGAATTATGTAGAAATCGATATCAAATTTTTCTTTATGGTTCTCCAGTAAAGATTAGTATATATTTGCAAATAATAAGTAATGCGCTTTTCTTCGTTAAAAAAAAAAATTGTACTACGCGCCTTTCAATTTATTATTTTTAAATTAAACCTTCAAATTTTCATGTTTACAACACATAACGCGCCGCCATTATTCTATGGCTAGAAATTGGCCTCAATGATTTGGGATCGAGGGGGATTATCCCTCTTTATCCTGCCTCATCTCGTG